ACTAGTTTGTGATGTCTTATGGTTTGATCATGTGGTAGGCTTGTTAATTATTACATTCGTTCCTATATGAAAGATAAAAGTAAAAGTCTTATTTTGTTCCTAATTATAAGAAACATAGTATTACTACTTTTAAATGTATTACACTTGATCTTAATCAAAAGGTCGATAAAGGTATTTTTGTTGTTTCTCTTTTAATTTTTCAACGAAGAAAATTTACTTTCAATTTTCTTTTAGGTCAGGTTACAATAACTTTATATGACATGTAATTTTCATTCTCTTAATTAGAGTGTTAGAACATGTGATTTTTGTTATCGATAGTTGTAATATTAATATATAATATAAGCAATTCTTTATTGTAAAAAAATATATTAAAATGTTACTAGTCAAAAAAAAAATACAAACTTCTAGTTTTTTAAATACAACAATGTTTTCTATCAAAAATAAAAAGTCTAATAATATTTACTAAATGGTTAAGCAAGACGAGGTGAATCAACTCTCACTACAAGAAAAACTAAAATTCGTAGATAATGTTGATTTTTCTTGTAGTGTCTTTCCATCTTATTTTTGGTAGGCTTAAGATGAGTCGGGCCAAAACGTCATAGATCGACCCATTTTGTCACCCCTAATATGGTGGGTGAGAGAGCTTGGAGTAATTATATATAATGTTGAATAAGGAAAAAATGAGAGAAAAAATAATCATTAAAAAATACTTTTGTTATTTAATTTTTAATTTATATTTATTTTAAATTAGATTTATACATTATACTTAAGGCTTAAATATTTATCCATGCATGTCTACAAATATGTCCTCTTCTTTTTAGTTCATGTAATCTTTGTTTTCATTTTTATCTTGTAATTTTTTTTCTTTTAGTCTCTTATTATATTGTTGACATGATACCTTAGTCAAGTAGGTTAACATTTTTGTAATAGTGTTTGGCAATGAAGACAAAAAATTGAAACGTTTTGATTTTATAAGGATGATTTTAAAAATAAAAATTTATAAAAAAAAATTTAAAATGTACTACATTATAGGAATGAGAATCATATTTAAACCTAGTATATATATATATAT